GGGGGGGGGGGGGGGGGGGGGGGGCGCTGGGGGGGAGATGGTTAAAGTATATCAGTTGTAAATTGGTGCAAGGCACTGAAAGGGACATTAACCTCTAATCAGATTCCAACAGTTCATTAAACCTGCCGGTCCTTTGTCTGTTCGGAGGCAGGCCCTGTTTGGGCAAGATCCAGCTTCGGCTCGTCCTTCTTCCCTGCGAGGCCAGTAGCCCGAGGGACAAGCGCAGCTGGAGACCCTCCGTGCGGAGCAGAGCCTCCCAGCCATGCAGGGCAGCCCCCCCCCCGCCAAATCCATCCGGCCGTTGCTCCCCGTCTGCAGCTGCCGAGGTGCTGAACCCCAGGCAGGCCAGAATGGCTGGCTGGCTGGCTGGACTCCCCCAGGCGAGGTCACTTGCCCGGGCAGCACCACCCCAGGGAGATTGATGGCACCGTCGTCGGAGGTGACAGCCTTGCAGCAGATGCAGGCCGGGCTTCTTGGGGCTCGTGGGAAGGGAGGCAGAACGAAGGAAGGGCTTTGAGTGTGGCTGGAAGGAGAGCTGCGCTGGCCGCGCGTTCTGCTCCACCCTAGGCGAGCAGCCAGACTGCTGGTGCTGGTGACTCCCTTGGATCGGGGAGGCAGGCCTGGTCAGCCAATGCCCTCCTGGGAGAGCGTCTGGGCCCGGCATCATTTCCCCTCCTGTTGTGTGGGCGGCTCGGCTGAGCACGCCTGGTGGTTGGAAGGCCCCCCTGTTCCCGTGGCTCTGAAGGGGAAGGTGGGCTCGGGGAAGAAAAGTGAACCGAGCTCCATTTTCCGTAACCTCCTTTGTAAGTCTTTCTTTTAAGGGCGGCTTCAGCTCCTCCCAAGAAGCAGCTGCTTTTTTCATTTATTGGATTGCACGTTATCCTGAGACTGTGCGTTATTCCAATTCTGCACTCAAGCAGCCCAAATCCTGCACCAGGAAAAGCTGAATTTTACACCCAGGGTGTATTAGAAGCCGAATTTGCATAATTTATGCCAGGGAGCTAGCTCTGTTCTGGAAGCTGTGCCTTCAACCAACTGGAAAATGATTTCTGTGCCTTTTCTGGCTCAGCAAGCGGAACTGCACATTTGGTGGTCCTACTTTGTTGGTTGCACGAGGGCTAGAAACTTTGTTCTTCTAACACGGAAAATTTAAGCTATAATAAAAATTAAACCCAAATTCCGTGCCTGAAGCGCTTTCTCCATCATGTCATTTGCATAGGTCTGGATTGTGTAATTCTGAGATGATAATGGACATGTTTATACCTGGGTCCTCAGAAGCGCTAACGTTGATACTCCGGGAACATACTCAAGACGTCCATCTTGCAGCACCTCACAAAGCGGTGTGAAACTGAGCCCAGATTGTCTTAACTCTGCCGAACCCACAACTTGGAGAAGTTGTGGAGAAGGCCACGAGACACTCAGGCTCCCGGTGACCAAGGGGATCCAGTCAGGGTCTGCTCACTGAGGTACCACCATTTGTTGTGGTACAGAGATCTCACATCCCCATTTTTATTTTTTAATGTTTTTAATTTTTAATTTTTTAAATTTATGTCCACAACTACCCACGTGTGGTATTTGTGGAAGAAAGCAGACAAAGACAAACCCGAAACCCGATCCCTGAAAGAGCCAGGAGGCCCTGACAGGCAGTGATCCAAGGGAGAGCCAGTGGTAGAAAAGGTCTGGCCTCCACTAAAGGCTCTCTCGGCCTCGACCGCCCGTCTGGGCTGTGAAGGGAAAGCTACGGCCTGCCAGGCAGCCCGTCACGGGGCACTTCCCCTGTGCTTGCATGTGGTTGCCGAGAGCTGAGGCCCCTGGGCTTGGAGAGGGGAGGCATAAGTGAAAAGGCCTCGGAAAAAGGACTCTGAACCTCTTGCCAGGGAGGAGGGTTGGGGGAGAGGCAAGAGGTCCTGCCAGAGGGAAAGTGGGTCAACCCTGGGGCTGCAAAGAGCCACTTTGGTGCCGTGGTGAAGGCGCCAGGCTAGAAACTGGGAGACCGCGAGTTCCAGTCCCGCCTTGGGCACGAACCAGCCAGTCCCTCTCTCTCAGCCCTAGGAAGGAGGCAAGGGCAAGCCACTTCTGAAATCTTGCCAAGAAAACTGCAGGGCCGGTCCAGGCAGTCGCCAGGAGCCAGCGCTGACTTGAAGGCACCAAAAGAAGGCTGCCTTGTTTACAGACTCCTGCTTTTTCGTAAGTCAGAGGGCAATCCTAACTCTGTTCCCATTTCCAATAAAGGAGAGAGTCAGAAATGAACTGAACCCATGCTTTAAAACGGGTGACGTTCCGAGATCAGTTGGGCCCAGTGCCGATGGCAAAGTGGTGGAAAATGCTTGCGCGGAAGTGCCCGCGGGCAGACCTTACCGACGGATGAGTCGGTCCGCTTTTCCTTGACGAACCAACCAAATCCTGAAGTGTTTAAGAGCCTTTGACGTGCCATCGTTTTCCTTCTCCTAGGCTCAGTGTTGCTTTTCTTGTTCTTTTTAAGGCTATTAACACACTGGAAAACAGAATGCTAATGCTGGATGGGATGCCTGCAGTCAGAGTCAAAACGGAGCTGCTGGAATCAGAACAAGGGGTGAGTGTGACCCTCCCGTTCTTCTCCACCCCGCTGGGGTATTTCTGTTTGCTTAATCGCTGGGAAACTTCCCACAGGCTTCCCCTCCCGATGTGGATGCGCTTGCCACAAACGGCGTGCAATTCTCCACCCAATTTCTTGTCACCCTCAACATCATCCGGTACAGTGGATGTCCTCTCGACTCTTGCTCTGAAAATGGTCATCTGCAAGCTTGAGGGCAACTGTAGAGGGTGCTCAGGGAAGCTTTCGTTAACTGTTCTGAGAGGAGGAGGAATAAGTCATAGCCACAATTTCACGTGGAGATGCAGTCACTCCAACAACGTCTAGTACTTGTTGGTGAAGAAAGTGAAAAGTGGGAGAGTCTTTTTTCTCTTTAACAATTAGTGTAATATTACTGGTACAAGTTTCCGTGCAACAGTGTAAGTGAAGTTAGCTAAATGGTTAAAAACTCAGAGGAAGAGGCATTCTTTGAGTGACCTTGGAGCTAGTAGACCCTTCCCAGTCGCTCTAACCTTGTCTGGAGAGATTATGAAGATGAAATAAGAGCAGAGCCCAACCCTGCAGTGGTGGTATAGCATATTCTGCAGCCAGAAGCAGAATCCATATTTCCTGATCCCTTCCTTGCCCTGAAAGGGCAGAGCCTTCAAAATGTTTGTTGCACTGCTCAGAGGTGGCTTTGTGCCTCTACTTATTGTCTCTCCTCATGGTGAATTCTGAAGCCGGCACCTTGTTCGATTCTGTGTCCTTGATCTGCCATCATTGTTCCCTTATATCAAAGGGAAGTTAACCAAAGTGAATGCAAGACTGCAGGAGGGAATTGGGTTCCTGGAAAGGTATTCGTGGAGGAGAAGACCAAGCCGTGAGAAGTTTAAAGACCAATAGACCATATATGAATTGGTCTATGAATGTGGTGAAAGCAAAGATGGCTTGCAAGGATAGAAAGTTATGGAGAGGTAGAGTGAAGAGTGTTGGTGTAAACTAGATTTAGCTATGTCTCCTTTTCTTTCCTGGGCTTCATTTCTTTTGGCCACTTCTTTTCACTCTCTTCTGCAATTTGCTTAATATTTCTTGTCCCAAAAGGAAATAACATAGAGGGTACAAATGTGGGTTTTACGTTCATGCTTCCTCTCGCCTATGCTCCGTGAAAGAGGGCCTCAGAGATGAAGCTTGCACGTTCCCTGGAACCTGACCAGTTGTTTTACTTGTCCCAGCACTGCTGACTTGGAGTCTGAAGGCATGCCTCCCTCCCCCCGCAGCACAGATCCTCCAAGACTGCATGGTTGGCTGCAAGAAAAGAAGGCAAAAATTGGAACTGCTAGTGGCGCAAAGAAAACTTGGCATGTTGCATTCTAAAAACATGCCTTGCATTCCACGTGTACATTTCCACCGTCGTAGAGTTATCTAAAAGTGACTACGTGACCCTCCTCTTTTATAAAAGCACGCCCATAACCAATGATAACGTTGCCGTCTTCTGGCGTCTGGGTTGGCTACAGCAGTTGACTGTGTTGAGCCTCAAGGCCTCACATGTCCCCCAAAGTCATGTTATGAATAGCGGGATTTTGTTTCCGCCCTGAAGCTGCTGGTAACGAAGTGAGGCAGCGCAGCCATGAAATACCTCCATTCGCCTTTAATAGGCCCCTGATCTACTTTTCCTGCGCATCTCATAAAGCTTTCCACAATTTGCAGCAATGGCACTGCAGAGTTGTGGCTTGGGTATTGTTCCTTCCTGCTCCACAGAAAGCCAGTCAAGTGTAGATGAGAAGATACCTCCTGTGGCAGATAAAAGGGCTAAATAATCTTGTTTGTATTGTTCATTTTTATTTTGGGCTTTTTTGTTAGGCTTTTAAGTGCCGCTATTTCACTTTACTTTTCTTTGGAGGTCCATATATAAACAATGCTTCCCTCCCATTCCTGCTAGGAGAAGGGAAAGGCAGACCTCCCTTTTGTGCATTATTGACATTTCTTGTTACGTGGCTTACATAAATTATCCTCCAGACCTCTGTCTTTATTTCATGCTTGGAGGGGGAAGTGAGGAGCTGTTTTTTTTGGGGGGGGGATTTCTTTTGGTGCCTTGTTACAGCCAGTGCTGTTTGCTCCAAACTTTGGAGCAGAAGTGGGATAAGGAATGTGTGGATAAATGGACATTTTGGGTTTGGCTAATCCAGAGCAGCCTCTTGGGTTGATTCTGAACTTTTCTCTCAGGCATATGTGAGCCTGTGGGGAACAGGAGGCGTCTCTCGTTGCATCTCCCTTGCTCCATGGTGGAAGTCTCAGAAGGAGCTTTGAAGATAGGCCGGGCAGGTCTCCCTCCAGAGCTAGGGCGGCCAGTTCGAGGCAACTTTGGCTGATTTCAAGAAAGCTAAGCAGGGTCGGAGCTGTTTTGTACGTGGATGAGAGATGACTCATCCTCGTTAGCAGTGCAGATTAGAGTAGGTGGCCAAAAAATGTGTCTTGAAAAAGAGGCAGTGGCAAACATTTCCATATTGTGGCCAAGGAAAGTCTTCCCGGGCCATCAAGGTTGGAGCTGACTTGAGACATCTTGGTCCTTAAGCTGATGTGCAAGTGGGGATAGACTTTGCGTCTGGCAGAGTTTCTGAAACAGATCTAGAGCCCAGCAGAAATGGCCTCTCAGCAGGGCTCAGTTTGGGAATCCTGTGGCCCAAAGCAGGAACCAGGAATTCAGGTGAGAATTCAGTGTCACCTCTAAAGTCTCAACACTTAAAAGTCTCAGTAAAAGAAAAGAAAAAAAGCTTTCTGAAAGATGTCTTGTTTCGCAGATAATATAAATCTTTTCTATCTGTGACATTCCTGTATGAGCACTGATAAGTTGAGAATGCTCTTTATGAAAACTGTTTTTACTTGTGGGTCTGAAATGATTTCCTTTGGCAATCATTCTCCTCCTAAAAAAACCATGTCTCTTCTCTGTCCGAAATTCCAGCCATCAGTAAAGTGGTGAAGGATGCTGCTGAAAGTTGAATAATGATTCAGGACAATGAAGTCCAAACAAACTTTGCAGAGCTGTATAAATAACTCTCAGTAACAACTGACTGATGGGGTGATAATAGGTTTGCTTCTAAGGCAGCTCTCATGCCTTGATGTTAAATGTGACTACTTACAATATGAACCCAGAAAGGTAATACGAAGAAATGTTTCCCTCTGAAAGATGCAAGTAGTTAATGAATACATTTTGGAGCCCGTCACTGCAAGGTGGTTTCTTTAACTACAGATCCTAGGTGCAGGGTTGTGGTCTGTCTGAATGTGAGTGGTGCAAGATCCAGGCCACTGTAGAGCCTATGATTCAGCCACTATTCTGTGGCAGCAGGTATGGCCAAGAAGAAGAATTTTCCATTTCTGTCCCTCTGCCATTTTACAGTATCACCCAATGGATTTTTTTCTGGGATTGAGGGGGATGTCCAAAGAGAGAGAGTTTGGTTGCCACGTGGATGGCTTGGTGTGAGAAGTTCACAGAATACTTTGAATGTAAAGGTTGTTACTATTAGTCATGGTTGGGAATGCAGGTACGCTCAGCAGATCTCTTGGATCCTGGTGCTTCTCGTCTTGAGGTTGTATCAGAGAGAGGATTTCTGGTGAGGCCCAGGAGGTTATCAATGGCTTTTTAAGGGCGTATTGCCACATTTTTAACAGGGGCATGATCAGGCTGCTGGTGAAGAAACCTAATCTGGGCCTAGAGGTTGAAATCAAAACCAGGCTTGTGGCCAGCATCGCATTCCAGGGCAACAGGCATTCTGGACCTATTTATAGCTGGTCTTGGTGACCCTGTTGGAGCAGGGCAGGGTGAACACTGTTGCTTCTCTTGGGCCTTTCTGCAACTTCTGATGAAAGCTGTACAGTAATATAAAATGGAGAAAGGTAAAAGTAGTCCACCCATCAATTGATGTAGTATGTCTTACTGTAGTATGTCTGGAAGGAAACATGTTATATGAAGGTAAGGCTGAAATACATGGTGTTATAACATTACGGCAACTGATCTCAAAAGGCAAAGCAAGGACAGATCTGGTTAGTAGGTGACCACCAGCAACTTCCAGGCCTGTAGCTTAGACTAGAAAGTCATAAAAACATCTTGGTGTCTCCGGTCCAAGTACTCACCAGATCCAACCTTGCTTAGCTTTTCAGGATGAACCACAGTTGGCCGATTGCTCCTCCTTCATAACCATATATGAAAGTTAATAATATCTCGCATATATATGATGATGAAAGCAATGCTTGTCCATAAGAACGGAATCTCCCAAGCAACAAAAATAATTATAATTAGATTGAATTAGACCTCATTATTGAATAATAGGAATTAGACCTACTTCTGCTTGCAAGTGATCCTGAGCATAAATAATAAGTTGTTTTTCTCTGTGACCAATAGTGTCTCGCTGAAAGGCTCTGGCTGGCCTTTCACACAGTCAGTTTGCACCAACAACATGCCCTCCAAAACCCTCTTGCACAGGATGGGATGAGCCAGCGTTGGCTAATCTCAGAAGCTAATCAGGTTTGGCTCTAAGTGGTACAAGGCTGGGTAACCACCTGACAAATCCAAGGTTACAGGATACATGGGACAGTCAGAAAGCAATGGCAAACCACTTCTATAGCCATTTGGATGCTACCACCAGAAGCCAGGTTTGACTTGCAGGTGCCTTTACTTTGATTTACTGGCAATCTCTCCAGGCTATAATCTCAGCTCCCATGGAACAGCCATGAGACAAGGACTGATTTAATCCATATGTCATGCTGACCAGAATAAGTGGCTGGGAAAGGTAATTGATCTTGGGATTCTAGTTCCAAAACATTTCAGTATTCCCTTCTCCATATTTAATAAATACACACTTCACTTTTCCATTTGTGAATGCCCAGATTGGCTAACAAGGTAGCTGTCAGCCATTCAAGGTAGTCCAGACTAGGAAACCAGTGTCATGTAGGTCAGGGCTACTTTTAGTGTAACAGAATCTTGCAGGTCTGAAGGTGCTTCCCCCCTCCTTTCCTTGATCGTCATG